ATATATATATGCATTATATGAATCTACCTATGCTACCGCGAATAACTTCAAAACAACATACACGCTAAACATACTCTAGGGTGAAATCCTCCACTTCCTCGCCGATGCTATCCGACCTTAAGCCCCTATACGAGTCATCGTAGCTGGGCATATTCAATGGCCTCAACGGGCGCTCCTTTGCTTCGGTCACCAGCGCCAAATCAACTCCAGCAAACTGCTCAGCCAAGCCTGCGCCCGGCTCCATGTTCCTGTCCAGGACATATGTATCCTTCACCCCGCTCTCGTACAGATCTTTAGTACTCTTGCTCTGGCCATGTCGGCTGTTGGTACTGAAGATCTTGTCCCGGGGGGGCGTGCCTGTGCCATAGCTCCCATGGCTGCCGGTAGATCCCGTGCTGGTGCTCTCGCGCATACCTCCACTACTACCCCCGTGCAGCTGTTGCTGTTGCTGTTGTTGGTGGTAGATGTAACTGTTCATATTGGCATCCGTCAGATTGCGCTGGCTATAGCTCCGGCGCAGACTCTTCTGCAGACCCTTTATAATTGAATTGGCTCGGCTGTGTCTGTTATGGGTCACATTCCCCTCAAGCCCGAGCTTCGGTGAGCTAGTCGCCGATTGCACCACACCCGCACCCGCACCCACAGGCACCGCATGGCTCGTACCAAAGCTCGGATGTGCACTGAGACTCGTATTCGTACTCCCCGTAGTACTTCCAGGCCCATTTGCGGCGAGTTTACTACCCCCTTCCCCGTGCACACCAGACGGGGCAGAGAGCACGCTGGCATTCGGCTTATCCGAGCGACGGTCGAGTGAGCTACTACGCGCGCGCCCAGTGCGGCTGATGCTGCGGAGGACCCCTTTGACTGTGTGCTTCCTATCGTGTGGTTGGGTAGGTGAGGTAGGTAGCGACATCTCTCCGGCTGTGCGTGTCTGCAGCTGTAATTGCGTGACCGTATGGGCTCTGAGCACATTTGGCGTGCCGCTATTGGCCACATCGGTAGTCCCGGTATTGCCCGGGTTATATACCCCTTCAGAAGCCCCGGACGCATAATGAGAACCCCCTACCGTGCTACTTACCGAGCTCACATCATTCATACTCCCGTGTGTATGTACATGCAAGTTTGTTCCGGGTGATTTCGTATGGCTATACTCTCGAGTGCCTCCACCGCTTACCACCCCACCCCCGTACACGTTGTCTCTAGTTATCTCTGCGGTCACTAACGTAGCCGCACGCTGCGCACGCGGCCTGTCACTGTTCTGTCGCCCGAGATGTATAGGAAACTGTGGTTTACTGACAATACCGCTACCGCTTAGACCTGGGAAGGCATCCCTTGTCCCAGCCGATCTCGTACGCCCTGTGAGTCTGGCCTTGGGGTTGATAATACCGCTACCGCTCACATTGTAGGACGTCGGTCCCCCCGATCCAGCTCTGGATCCAGAAGCGTTTATAGGCGGTTGTATGCATGTGGGCTTGGCCATAGACACACACTTGGTGTGGCACGCATAGCTGCAGTGGTCACATTTGGCTGCTTTGCGTTCCGTGATCTTCTTCTCACACAATGAACAAGTACCATTGACATAGCTCTTATCACTGAATCTATGTTCAATTTCTCCTTGTTCCAGAAGCCCAAACCCTGACTGGGCTGTGGGGGATTGAGATAAATTCGTAACTTTTGTATTTGTATTTACATTCACATTTGTATTGGCATGCATCTCTAATTTAACGCGCAATTGACCTTCTCGCCATAGGACATCCTCCAACTGCTTTTCCTGGATGCTGAGATAAGTAGCAGCTTCGTAATTAGTGCCGTATTGCATGATGTGCAAGTTCAGTGTGTGGATGCTGGTTTGGATCAAATTAATAATCAGCGCTAGGCTGTGTATTTCGGCCTCCATATCATGCAGTTGTGAGCCTTGACCTCCACTAGTAGACTTATGTTGTTGTTGTTGCTGTTGTTGGGGGGGGGACGGTTTGTACTTCATTGTGGCAAGTCATATATATATATATATATATATATATATATATATATATATATATATATATATATATACGATTTAGTCGTCTACTTTACAGCAGATATACTACACGCGACTCACGTTAACCCTGTGTGCTAGCCGGCATAATAAACTCTTTAGATGCTACCAAGACACAAACCCATTCAAGGCCAGTGGCAGATACACTTAATGTACACGTGTCTGCATATCACATACTAGTCTGTACATGTGAGCGTTTGTGTATACAGCGGTTTTGTATTATACTATGCTGTCACGTATGTATGTGTGTTATTCACACTCGAGCTCGTCTGATACACTCGCATATTCACACTGCGCGTAAATATGATATTTAGCAATAAAACTCTGATTCACATTACTTATTTTTAAAATCTTTATTTAACGTCAATTCGGTTTGCACTCACTTGATGCAGTAAAACGTTGAACGTAGACGCAAAAGCTTTTTTCTGTGTTTTGTTTTGTTTTATTAATTTGCTTTTAAGAAAGAAAAACAAAATGTCACAGGTTTGCAGTGATCGCGCCATAAAAACCTTTTTTTTTTGACCCGAGAATCAAACTTCTCAAAAACAACAATGAAAAAAAAATAGATTAAGAATTAGGCTCTTGCGACCTATATTTGGCCTGGTTTTGCATGTGGATCACTTTATACTGTATGGGTGAATGTAGCTGTATGTGTATATTCCTGTATATATAAGACACCTGTGTAGTGTGTTGACAACAGTATGGACACGAATATATTTTAGTCTTGCACCTACGTATATCACAAAACACTGCATAAAGAAAGACTATTTGCTTGCAGAATGACCTTCAGAACTAATATAGTTATCAATCAACAATCAACATGAAACCCATCGGAACGTGTAAACCGATTTGACAAGTCAGCGACGAGAGAAATTGTTTTGAATATAAGTCAGCGATGTGCTTTTTTTTCTGCACAGCGCTCTAACACAACATATACAATCTTTACTTCTAAACGATAAGTAGGCCAAAAGCATGGGATATAAATAAACCAGCTCAATAACGAACAATTATCCTGTAGTCTTCTGTGTATCCTGCAAGAAATCTGGTCACTACTGATAACCAACTCAAAAACCGACGACTATTTTGAAATCCGTGTATTATTAAGACAAAATTGAGCGTTACTGATAACCAGGTCAATAACGAATCTTTTTGTTTTTTGTAATAAGTGTATAATGCAAGGCCAACTCTGGACACGAAATATATCAACTCGATAACAAAAGACTCTTTTGCAGTCCATATATATATATATATATATATATATATACTATATATATATATATNTATACTANATACTATAATATATA